CATCAGCCTCATTTTATATTAAAACAAGGTCAAACCATGAAACCTGAAAATTCAAACCAACACTTCAAAAGAACAAATTAATCAAAGAAATATGGCGCAGAAAAATGATATCACAAGGTCGAAAGAAAATCAACCCAACCTTTCTCTGTGAACTTCGTTTCTGTTTTGATTTGTGCTTGCTCTCACTTGGTCTCGGCTCGTATGGGTTCTTTTTTTGTCTTAGGTTCGGTTTATTCTATATTATCGATTTGGTTCAATTTCGATTCAAACTCTCTCTTCTTCTTTCACTCTTTTCTATTCTGATTGAAAGATTTTGTGGTTGTTGGTGGATTTGGGATGGGTTTTGGGTATTGTTGAAGGAGGATGAAGATGGTTGAAGGTGTGATTTTATTTTTGAGGGTTTTATTTGGGTGAGGTTCATAAGGTTGTATGAAGTGATGTTGAGGATGAAAAGTAAAATTTTGGAAATGAAAGTTGGGTGAGAACTTTTGCAGCGTATTGTCGGTTCCGGTCGAACTTGAAGTTCTGGGGAAGAGAAATGTGTGATTTATAAGAGAATTTGGAGGGTAAAAGTTAAATTTAGTGGAAATAATTGTGAGAAAAAATTGTGATGTGGTTGTCGTACGAATGTAACGATTTTGGTCGCTGAAGGAATTAATGCGTATCTACAGGTTTTGGAAGAAATTGGTTGTTGTGTATTGGTTTTGTTTGTGTTGTGGTGATAATGTGTTCCTTTGCGTGTATTACAAATCATGTTGTGGTTGTGCAGAATTCTTGCGTGAATTTCGTTGTCATGTGCGTGTTTTTACAGCTGGCAGGTTGTTTTGTTGTGACCTTGTTGTTGTGTATTGTTTTCGTGCAGGCTTTGTGTATGTTGAAATTGTGGGGTTAGTGTCGTATGTTGTGAATGTTTCATGAAGGTTGGAAAGGTTGTTGTGAGACTCATGGTTGTCGCGTATGCAGGCACGTGAGGCTCATGTTTTGTTGTATATCATGGGGACGTTTTGGAGTTATTGTGTAGGCACAGGCTGGAGGCGTTGTTTAGTACGGCGGGTGTTGTAGGTTTTTGTGTAGGTAACTTATTGCTTTTGTGAAGTTGATAGCATGGTGGACGTGACCTCATGGCTTTGGAGGCTTTGAATGCTTTTGAATTGTGAAGAAACATGAATAGGAGTGAGCCGTGTTTGGAATCTTATGCTGGCCATTTTTATTCTCTTTTTTTCGTTTGGAAAATTATTGTATGGGCTTGGAAAGAACTCTCAATATAGTTTAGGCTTTTTGTTGGCCTTGAATTTTTTCTTTGAATGCAATTTTTTTCGGCTTTGGAAATATTCTTTTTGGAACAATTTGTTTTGTGACATTGTATTTGGACTTGTAAACTTTTGTAAAATGTAATGGGCTTTGATGAACTTGAAACTCTTGATTTAAAACCATGATGATTAAACTTGAAATTCCCATTAGAACCAAACTCTAACATTCTTGAATTGAAATAAACGCAACTTGAATTAACCTTGAGAAATAGAACCGACCATGAATCAATCCCTTGAATTTTTCCACTTGCACGCTGCACCAAATTTTTACCATGGATCAAATGCTCAATCAACAATATGCCTTGAAATCATAAGAACATGACTTAAAATATGAATTGTAGCACAACTGCTCTAAAAACCCTGATTGAAAATGAACAGACTCCACATGATTCTCCATCATGAAACATTCAATACTTAGCAAAGCCTGATACTATGATCCACACACATATGACTGAGTCGATTCCATTTGACCAAGATCAAGTCCAATTCTTCTGAATCTCCACCATTACTTCATACACTCTTGACCTGATTTCAAGCGAATTTGAGTTGAACGACACCTCTTCCCAAACAACAAAGGGATAAGAAACCCCAATCTCTATGCTTTGGGTGCATACTGATGAAGAAAACAGCCTGAGATATTGACATCCAACAAAACTCTAGTTCCTCAGTCTCCACTAGAACCATGATGAAACCTTAATCACTTGATGCCTCTTGAGAAATTCTGAAGCAGATAAACTTGATACTTAATGAATGTCTGTAAAGGAAAGCCTTGTAACTGGATGAACTTTGATAAAAATATGCTCATGATGATGAGAAATGAACCCTTGCTTCAAACTTGAATGAAGGTACCTTAAAGCAAATAGGAATCCTGATTCAAAGAATCTCTTGATCCCATGCTTTAGGATCTCAATGCAAATGAATGAATGCAAAGTTATGACCTAATGTGAGATGCAGATAAATGCAAACAAAAGCCAGTTAAGGTTAGAAAAAGAGTGGGAAAATTTTGGGGTGTAACAACTCCCTATGGTGGAGGGATCTTAAATCTTTATATAAGTAAGATGAAAAGGTTGTGGACTAGTTCAAAAATGGAATTTCTTGCATAATAGGATCAAACAACTCAATCTTTTTTTAGAAACACAAGTGGTTGGTGACATGACCACTATTGGTATCTTTTCCACTTGTTCATGATCTGTCTTCCAAAAAATGTGGCACAATGCTATAAATGGGTTCCTTCTTGGGAGGAGTTTGGAGCTGGAATCTACATGTTCCTAGATTAAACATTCAAGGGGAGGAAAAGCATGAATTACATGCTCTCTTGGTGATCTTGAGTGATGTTAAGCTGAGTAATAATGTTCATGACATGTTTGCGTAGTTGCATAGTGAGGATGTAGCTTATTCAGTCAGGACTGGTTTCAAGTTGGTGGCAGAGCAGGAGGATTGTGTTCATCTGGATCAAGACAAAAATTTTGGCTTTGAATAGACTTTGACATACTAAGATTCCTTCAAGGATTTAGGTTTTTAAGTGGAGGTTGTTTTTAAACAGACTACCAACAAGAGATCAATTATTGTTGAGGGGGATAATCCATGATGATCATAGTAAAACTTGTGTCTTCTGTTTTAGGGAGGGAAAAGATCTTAAACATTTATTATTTAAGTGTCCCTTTTCAATTAATTTATGGCACCAAATTTTAGATTAATTAGATAAGGAATGTGATCAACCAAGGGAAGGGCTAGCTCACCTAACGTGGTTATTTAGTCTCATGAAGGATAAAATGTGGATCAACGAGGAACCATGAGAAACAATATCCTATTTAGAGGAGAATTTTGTGATGTAGAAGAGACCGTGGATAACATCAAACTAGTTGTTTGGATATGACATGTTATAGGTTTAAAATCTAAAGGTTGTACTAATTTTTATGATTGGTGGAAGGTGTTGGAAAAATAACACCAACAAAAAAACAAATATCTACCCACGCAGAAGCATATTCACAAAAAAGAAAAAGAAGCAAAATTTTAAACAAAAAATTACAAACTTTCTCGTACAATTATTTTTTACAAGGATAAAATTACAAACCCTCTCATACAATTGCAATTTTTAAGGAGAAAATTCTAAACCTTCCAAATTACAATTTTGAACAGAAAAATTGTAAACTCTCTATCAATTATAATTTTTGGACAGAAAAATTACAAACAGTTTCTCAATTACAATTTTTGGACAGAAAAATTACAACGGAAAAATAAAAAATTCTCTCTAAATAGACAACTATCCAAATCCTCAATACACCAAAAGACTACAATGTGTTGTTGCAAAGAAAACTAAAACTAACTATATATATTTATATTAATACTCAAATTATATTTTCTTCCTACTACTTGATGTAGGACTTGGATGAATATACTATTTGATCAAATAAATCCTCTTTTCATCTAAAGTCTCACATATCTTCACTTTGTCTTCAACTTCATCTTCAAAACGACCATTTGTAAAATTGTTACTCTTCAATCTTTTTCTCTTCTTTCTCCCTTGATCTGAATTTTTGTCACTCTTCATTTTTCACTTGATCAAAATTTTTTGTGACTTATCCTTCATACCTTGATGAGAACATTAACTATGATACCAGTTGTTGAAAAATAATAAATAAATAAAAATTTTCTATGCACGCAAAAGCATACTCACAAAAAAGAAAAAGAAGCAAAAATTTAAACAAAAAATTCATAAATTCATAATTCAACTTGTAATATTTACATGGACAAAATTACAAACCTCTCGTACAACTGGAATTTTTAAGGAGAAAATTACAAACCCTCCAAAATTGCAATTTTGAACGGAAAAATCGCAAACCTTCTCTCAATTACAATTTTTGGACGAAAAAATTGTAAACTCTTTCTCAATTACAATTTTTAGACGAAAAAATTGCAAACTCTCTCAACAACTATTTTGAATGAAAAATCGAAATCCTCTCAATAAACTATTTTTGAACGAAAAAATAAAAAACTCTCTCTAAACACACAATTGTCCAAATTCTCAATACACCAAAAAAACTACCTTTTATTTATGTGTAGAAAATTAAAACTAACTATCTCTATTACTATTTTATTTTCTTCTTATAGATATAAAATTTAAATAAATATACTATTTGACCAATCAAATGCTCATTTGACCTCTCTCTCAATTTGTATTTGAGAATAGTATCCTTTGGAATCATTTTTAACCCAATTGCTTATAAAAAAAATATTACTCGTTAGTCTACGAATAAATAAAAGATATAATGCAAAAAAAATGAAAACCTATGGTTCTAAGAAACACAGTCAGTCGAGAAATCAGCATCACCATTGACTTGCAATTCTCACTTGTGATAAGTCTAACCACGAGACTTGCTACCCCCATTAACATTTAACAACAAAATATCGTACTTTTGCTACAATATATTTAAAACCACTTGAAAGTCTTCCATTAGTCTTTCCATCCATGCCCCACCCTCACACCTTGCTCTATCTATCATACTTTTATTCCCACTCATCATTTTCTATATATCACTGACTCCTCGAAGTTTCCTATAGTTCCTACGAAACTTACTATGAAGCTACATCATCATTAAACTAACCCTAGAGTTTTATATTTATGTATATATATACATTCCATGCTGTTTTTTTTTTCTTCTATAACTGTATACCAGTTGCAAAAGAATTATGACAGATAAAAATCCATATTCACCTGAGAGTGATTTCACCAACCAGTGGTCTTTGGAGCCTTCTGAGTACTTGAAGTTTGACGACGATCAATGGCCAGATGACAATCCAGAGCCGTTTCTTGCTGAGCACGTCACCAGCCAAGACAATGAATTAGTAGCTGATTTCGGAGAAAGTGGAAGCCGAATTGGTGGACCGGCTTCCGGCAGTGAACGTGAGAAGAAGGAAGTTAAAGATAAAGTTGCGTTCAAGACAAAGTCAGAGGTTGAGATTCTGGACGATGGATTCAAGTGGAGGAAGTATGGAAAAAAGATGGTGAAAAACAGCCCTAATCCAAGGTAACTTGTTAACATTAGAACTTTCCATTTTTGATATTTTTTATGAATAAATAGCTGGTTCAAAACATATATATTTGTGTTGATTGAGAATTTTTGGTAATTTGATTACAGGAACTACTATAGATGTTCTAGAGATGGATGCCAAGTGAAGAAGAGAGTTGAGAGAGATGTGGATGATCCGAGTTATGTGATAACAACCTATGAAGGCACACATACACATCCAAGTTTTCACTAGAACAAGTTTTAGCATATTCATGGGCCATACATAGCTATGGCCACTATTAGTGGTCTTAACTTAAGTTTTTTTGGAAGAAGTAAGAGATGTTTCAATGTCTGGTTTGACTCGTGGAAAAAAAGAAAAACACATTTGTATTGGCTATCAAATAGGTATATCTAATATATTTGATGTCTATCTATCACTATCCTAAGTTTATAGGATAATGTTATGAATATGGAAAACTAACCGCTGCTTAACTGTGTGTTAGTATAACTTTAGTATGTGATTAAAATTTAAAAAAAAAAAAAAAATTAATGTATTTTGGTGTATAATTTTATCTAAAAAAATTAGACTTATTCAAAAATAAGTCTCAATAAATTTTCGAAAAACTTTTTAAAAGTATTCTAGTAAACAATTTGGAAAACTTAAAAATAAGGTGAAAAACCATACCAGTTGCAACGAAGTGTTTCAATAAATTATACTTATGGGACCACTTTTATAAATTAGAAAAGCTGTGTAGGGTGAAAAAACTCTAATTTATAAAATAATTACATTTTTTAAAGCACTTTTATAAATTAGAAAAGCTATGTAGGGTGAAAAAAATTTAATTTAAAAAAAAATATATTTTTTAAAGCTTTTTAGAAGTGAATGTTGGAGGATATGAGATAAAATCTTCATATTTGTATCCCTAGCTCAATCTTCATATTCATATTTATGAAGATAGTTTTTTAATCCACTCTTTGATACTCTTAATCATCTAGTGTATTTTTTTTTAATATTTTTTGTTTTTGGATCTGTATTTTTGAACGCACCTTTTTTTTTTCTTTACACCGGATGCTTCCGGAGACACATCTACAAAAAAAATTTCGTAGATGCATCTTCGAAATCTTATCAGGATAGGTTTTTTTTATAAAAAATCAAGTTTGGTTGGTCGCAGATGAAAATTAATTGTTGCAGATTATAACATCCACTGTGACATCTGCTACTTAACAGCTAATACTCAGTAATAATAAAAGTAGTAAATAACACAACAATTGTTTACCCAGTTCAGTGTCAACAACACTTACATCTGGGGGCTACCAAGGCAGGGAGGAAATTCACTATCAGTAGAATCAATTCAGAGTTAAACCTCAAGTTTACACTCCTCACTTAATCCCTACCCAATGACACTTCAACCTGGAGACACTCTAGACCTGAGTATACCCACTCACTCCCCCTCAATCACACAACAGTGATATCAAACAATTACAGAAGACAATATGAAGCGACACTTCATACACACCTTGATCTTGCTTCACAGCATTGATCAAGAAACTCACACACTCTTGTTTCAAAGCTTCGAGTGAGTCACAACCTAGAATCTACCTATCCAATGCAAATCATCCACCAGACAATTGCTTGGAGTACAAGTATTCCTAGACAGAATTCACACGTGAAGACTAGCCTTCTTCACTTACAAGGACTCTGCAATCTGCACTCTTTCTTCTTCTGTCAGTCAAGTGCTGCTCTTCAGGATTACATATTTTGATATTTATAGCAGCTGTTAGTCCTTTTGGGCCTTGGTGCACAAATTAGGTTTTACCCATAACAAACCTATTTTCAATGATCTGCACACTTGGCACTTAATTCAGGGATCTTTTAGTTCGCCTAGGCCTTCTAGAAAGCCTCTTGATATCCAGCTTGAACTCCTATTCTGTTTCCTGGTTTATAGCTACCAGAAAAACAAACCTGCGCTTGATGTCATACGACCCATGTCATAACATTGGGTATGACATCCAATGTAACTTGCTTTTAGCTAAGTTAACTTACCCTACACAGTCCATATTATGTATGCACTAATATCAGACATGTCATACATACATGCTCTAGTGTTTTGTCACAAAATGCAGCCAATCAAGAGCACTTACAAACTTCTCCTTTGACAAATTTTTGGCTAAAACACTCTGTCATTATATTAGAGATTTACACAGCAGAAGACTTATGATCTGTCCTGTCATGCAGGATAGTTAATAGCTCAAACCACTATGAGTCCTCACAGTTAGCTCTCACTGTTATACCTCACCCTGTTAACCATCTGTTAGTTACCACTACAGATGTCACTCTTTGCTGAGTGAGTAACACATAGACTTACTCCCCCTCAACTGTTACATCTTATCAGTTTAACACTTCTCCTGCACACCCTGCAAACATTCTGCAGTCACACATATTCATCCAGTCTGCTCTGGATGTTATGACCTTCAGGATAACATCCTGAATTACACACACTACACACACCTGTGCTACCCCCCTGAAGAGTTGCACAATACTCTCATTTTGCTCTCAACTTGCAGACACACAGTATAGCAACTTCAGCACAAACTAGGAAATTCCTAGTACTAACAGGCATTCTTACACAAGCACAAGCTAGGAAACTACACACATAGCATCAGTCTATTACTAGCATCATTAGCAGCTGTTATCACACATGCATCATCAGCATCACCTGTAGTTATACCTGCAAATATGCAAGTCTAATATTGTATGCACAATGGCACATATGCCCAAGCACTGTTCTGCCAACTCTTATCACTTGTTCTTCCACCTGTTCTTTTATTTCATCTGATATACCTGTTGTTGCTATCTTTCTTTCTCCCCCCTTTTTAGCCACAAATTAAGATCCAACTAAGAACTTAGCATATATCATACATTGTAACATTACAACTGGTTAGGGTTACATTACAACAAAAATGCTCTCTGAAGAGCAAAACATAAACACATTAAGCCAGCAGCACACCTCAGCAGATTGAGTCACATACTCAATCTTCTTCACCAGAGGAGGAACTGGAGTCACTGTCATTGACATTGGTCGGTACATTCTCACAACTGTCATCACCCTCTTCTTCTGGCTTGTCAAAATAATGAGGTGGATCCCTGCGAGCCAATGGAACAGTGATGCCTCTGAGGACCACCCTTTTCTCGAACATCTCATCAATAATTTCCTCTCGAACATCTCATCAATACTTCCGTCTTCGTTCTTCATGCGAGAGAGGCGCGTCTTTGGAGGGTTTTGGTTTGGTCTTAGATGACGATCCTTCATGATGAGAGGCCATGTTGTTGTCGAGAACGAAGGTCTGGGAGAGATGTTGAACGGTAATGGGGGCGGAGAGACACGTTTGTGTGAGGTGGAGAGCTTTATTGGTCAAGGTCTTGAACTGCATTGAATTTGTAAAACTCTCACGTGCCATTAATTGCTATGCATCCTCATACACACAAATACCCAACTTTCCTCTATGATTCTCAAATGGAGCAACAACTAGAGCCTTTGTACAATTGTCAGCTAGTTGTGGTTCAATGGACACATACTCCAAGGAAATTACTGCGTCCTCCACAAGATCCATGTGCTTAGTTCTGCTGTGCTGGATTAGGTCACAATGCAATGTCATGACGTCCTGAGTGACATTGTATTTGGTTAATATTTGCTTTATCCAGACCAGCTGAGAACATCTGCTACCAGCTGCTCCGTGTTCAGCTTCAGCAGTGTGCTTCCTTCTGAACCAAGATATTAGGTTGCTCTCTAAGAAGAGGCATCCACCAGATGTGCTCTTTTTGCCATCACAGTACCCATTCAAGGTAGGATCATACTCATGAGAGCAGAGTATGCCATAGTCACAGATTCCATTCACATATTTGAGAATTTTGTTCACTTGATTCATGTGACTTACTTTAGGGCTTGCTTGATACTTAGCACATACACCAACAACAAACGTAATGTCAGGTCTGCTGGCTTTTTGATACAGAAGGCTTCCTATCAAGTTCTTGTACAAGTTTTGACCATCTTTTAACAGCTTCAGATGAGTAGATACATATGTTCTTTTGTGGTCAACATTGTCCAACCCAACCTTTTTGTCAATGCCTTTGGTGTACTGACTTTGTGAGAGCCATATAGGTTCCTCCAATTGCATGACTTGTATCCCAAGAAAGTAGGTTAATTTTACACACGAACTCATCTCAGACTCAGATTGTATCTGATTAACATATTGGTTTATCAACTTCTCAGACATTCTACCAAAGACTATGTCATCCACATAGGTCTGAGCAGTCATGAGTTTGCCATCCTCATTGTTAGCAAGAAGGGTCTTTTTTATTCCTCCATGGTTAGTAAGAGACTTAGTTAGCCTTTCATACCAAGCCCTGGGAACTTGTTTCACTCCATAGGGAGCTTTCTTCAACTTGTACACATAGTTTAGTTGCTTAGGTTCATCAAATCCCTTGGGTTGTTCCACATATACTTCCTTATTTAAGTATCCATTTAGGAAGGCGCTCTTTATATTCATTTGGAATAGCTTAATCTTCAGAATGCAAGCAATTCCCAAAATCCACCTGATTGACTTTAGTCTAGCACCTGGTGCACAGGCATCATCAATTGCTTCTACTAGTCTAGCCTTGTTCCTGACTATTCTTCCTTGTTTATCAGATTTGATCTTGTAAATCCACTTAGTTTCAGTTATGTTAGTTCCATCTGGGCTTGGAACCAATTCCCATACTGTATTCCTTTCAAGCTGATCTGAGTCCATATTTATGTCACTATGAATGTCACAATATAAGGTCATAACCTTCTGAGTGACATTGCCCTTCTTATGCTGACCATTTGCCATGGACTTCATAAGCTTCCAGTATACCAGGTCCAGGTTTCTATGATGATTATCCTTAGACTGTCTTTTCATGGCTTGCCTACCAACCCCATAGCTTGTTGTTCTGTCCAGAGGAACCTTATAAGTTCCACTTACTGATTCTTTGGTTATGACCTTCCCTATTCTTTGAGGATGTCTGCCTTTGTCCAAACTTATTTGATCCTTCTTCTCTTTATTGATCAATCCTGGTAGGTTACTTCTGGACTTCCATAGGTAAATGTTATTCTTGGATCTAGTACCCCTCATTTCCTCTTTTCCTTCTTCATTGATAACCACACACTTGTCTTTGGAAAAGTGGACTTTTAAACCTTGATCACAAAGTTGACTTATGCTTATTAGATTGACAGT